GGCCAACCAACCCCTTTGGCCTGAGAGCTGATCCACAGCTGGGCCAGCAGCTCCGCCCCACGGCAATGCCCATGGTTGTATTTCAGCTGGGCTGTACGTGAGTGCTATCTTCTGCCCAAAATGCCAGGGAAAACACAACTTCTGTTTCCCACAGGGTCTTTCTTAGTATCACTGATGAGACTGCTATCTACAAACCTTTCTGTCTTTCCAACAGTGGGAGTGAACATTTCCAGTGGAATATCTGGGGGAAGGGACTGAGCAAGGGAGGGGATGCTTTCACTGTGAATCACTGCCTAAGAAACCACCCACAACTTTGGCTAGCAGAACTTCTCCCATGCACTAGGAATTGTCCTGGCCTCAGTATGATTAGTGGTGACCAAATTCCAGCCAGAGCATGCTAAGCCCTCAAAATCAGATCATCCCTTTGGGCTGGTGGGCTTTTATTCCCCTGGTGCTCTGGGAACTGGGATGAGGAACAGTTGCTGGCACGTTCCATTTCCTACCAACAAGGACAGGAGCTGTTGGCCTGGAGTCAGAGGTCAGCAGTGGAACAGTGAGGAGGGGATGCAGCTGGCTGAGGTGTCTCTGCAAAAGCCAAAGCTGACCTCTCCTTGCTCTCTCCTCCTGCTGCAGTACTATCTCTCTGATGCTGATTTCTACGATATCTTTGGGAAGTCCAAGGACGAGTTCTACCAGATGCCCAAATGGAAGCAGCAGAATGAGAAGAAGCAGTATGGACTCTTCTGAGACCGCAGGGGCCATCCGGCATCCAGTGACTCTGGCACCAAACCTTGCCCTCTTAGGAGCTGCAGGGAAGAAGTACAGACATTTGCCCAATGAACCCAACCCATCTCAATCAGGCCCAGCTCCAATGCAGTTATTCCAGCAGCCACTGTTCAGGGGATGGCTCCTTTCTCCTGCAAACCCTGAACCCAAGGAGACAAAACCTTTGCAGGAACGACTTTGCAGGATGATTTTGCCTCTTTTTGACACTTTATTGCTGATAGCCATGAAGACAAGTGTGTGTCACACAATCGTATTGTAGCCTCTTCTTTCCTCTTCCTTTTGCAAATTGCCACATGCACAAGGTCATGATCTTCCTTCATTTGTAGAAATTTAAAATTATGCAAGACAAAGGCCGCTTGCAGCTGCTATGTGAATTCTGGGTTGGGAGAGGAGAGGGAAGCCCTAGGAGGACAGAGGGAGAGCATTGAGATCAGGAGAAAGGTAATGGAGTAGCCAGATGTCTGCTGGTGTAGCCCATGGAGGGACACCAGGTGGTTCTGACCCTTCTCACCTTGCAGAAAGACTATTCACCAAACAACAGCAAGAATCAGTTGTAGACTAAAATGCATAGCCCAGTGCAGGTAAAACAAACAAGAATCTGGCTTGGAAAGAAAAAAACCAAACCACTTATTAAGAGTATATTTATTAGGTGATCCTCTTCAAAAGGATGATGAGCTGTTGGTTTTGTCTGCCAGACAGGACTGTCTCTTGTTCTCTCATTCAGACAGCATCTCCAATCTCACCCGTCCTCCCTGAGCACAGCCAGGTGAACTTAAGAGTCCACCTGCCCACAGACTTGGGGAAGCCAGGAGGGTTTGAGGTATGACCTCAGGCAGAGTGTGTCCCACTGAAGGTTTTATCAGGGCTCCATTTCTGCGATGAGCGCTCGTTCTACACTGCGAGCTTAGGCTGACCAGGGAGGGCAGGGAGAAATGTGGGCGATCAGTGACTAAGGGATACAGCTATAAACTAAAAGAAGCAGCACATATGTTTAAAACCTCAGAAGATGTGGTTTTGCAGCATTACTCCATTTCCAACCTGATTGGTGATTGCAAATAAACAGCCAGCAGCAGCGCTGTAAGTGTCTTTGGTCAGCATGTGGGGTAGGACGGCAGTAGGCGAAAGCTCTGCAGGGCCACAGATCCTTCAAACATCTGGTCTTTAATAGAATCTGGGATTTTTTTGAAAAGTAAAAAACGAACCAAGGAGGTTTTGAACCCCATCTGTTCCCGAACACCATAGCCAGGACCATTTGTCTCCCTATGCCCATGTACCCTGCTGCTGAAGCCCCATGATGACCATGAAACTGGGACCTGCCCAAACCTTTGCAGGTGATGGGGTATTCTGGACAGATTTGTGTGTTCAAGAATTGGTAGTCATTTGAAATAAGCCACCACCCTAACATTGCCTCCATTCTCCTGCCACCACGTGTCTTACTTCTGGTTGAGGGTCCAGCCAAAACCCACTGAATCCCACACCCTGCCCCGTGCAGAACAAGGTAAGAGTCAGAGACACAGATCAGCCAAACTATGTGCATGATTGCTGCTGTTGTGTCCACACTAGATACAATCACTGCACATTATCCCTATTTCAGCCTCTATTGCCACTGCTGGAAGCAACAATATTTGCATCACACAACTGCGGCATGCTCCTGCCGGCTCCCAAATTAACGAATTGCATGTGCTCCTCCGTAAAATGCAGCAATGCCACCTATGAGCCCTGGGTGTGGGACTAATGAGCATCATGCAATCAAGTGGAGACCAACAGAAATACAGTCGGATTATGAAGATCAGGC